TGATAGTGTGCCCCCGATACCCATCCCATCCATCCATCCCCCGATCCCCATTCAATATATACACACACACACACACGCTTGTAGAAGAGGAGTAGAGTCCCAAAAACAATAACGGCAGCTAAAATGTTGAAATTCCATCGGGATTTAAATTTAATTTGTTTATTTCTTTCGTCTCTGTGCGCGTGTGCTTTTTGTTTTAGCTTAAGGGACTTGTAAGTTTTTGTTCTCTCGTTTAAGATCCCGGCAATATTGTGTTCTTTATAATTTATCCCTTTTCTTTATTGCACGCGAGCTGCGAGCAGTTCCCGGCGTGTGTTTTAATTTTCGTTCCTTGAGGTTCTTCTATTTAAATTTTTATGACGCTTATAAAAGAAGGGAGAACACAAAAACAAAATACGAGCTGTAGAAATTAATTTTAAAAATTATTTCCAACATAAAAACAATTACGTTACTTTCTACACACACACGCAAAAATTATGATTGCAAACGCAAAAAAAACTACAAGTAAAATCGTAAATTATAAGCTAAAAGTAAAACAAAAAAGAACAAGAAAAGATAAACTAAAAATTATAATTATAAAAGTAAAAAATAAATGTATGTACTTGAAAAAAACGAGAAATAATTCAATTAATTTTAAATTTAATAATTAAAATTTAATTTTATCAAATTTAATTTTTGTATTTGATATCTTTTGGAGCGTATTGTGTGGGATTTTTATTTCTTATCAGTTTATTAATGTTCGTCTTTTTTGTATGATTTTAAGATGCTTTAACGTCGACTGACGGCCACCACGCGTTTTATAAATTTAAAGCCTAATTCTGCTTTGACCTTCTTTTAGTCTCATGGCTACGTTTCTTTGGTCAGTTCCAGCCACTCGTCTTAGGATCTATAAGCATCCTGGTCATATGGGTAGACTTATATACGTACATATATATATTTCTCAAATAGTACAAAACATCTTTTCGCTTAGAGCCTACAAAAAACCACCAATCTATGGGGTAGGGAATTTTAAAGCTGTGGTAGGTTCAAGATCAGCTGAGCAGTGCCAGTAGCTCCGAGGTGCGCTCCAGGCAGCTACAGCCACATGTGGCACAAACAGTGTGTTTCTGAAATATAAATAAAGATTAAAGCCTCGTTTGCAGGTTAAGAGTAAATAGAATTAGGGAAACACCATATAACAGCTTTTTGGTGCCTCATGCAACATCTAAGGAGTTGCCTAGTCTTTGATAGAACTCACCTCAAACCACTGCATCATGTGATCCATGTGTCCGCCATGGCCACAGGCCAGACAAGCGTTCGCTGCTCCTTTGACAGGCAGACGACAGAGAACGCAGTATAGCGCCGGCCTCTTGCAGAACTCACATTTCGGAGTGCGCTTCGGCTTGTTGCAAGTGCCGCACTCGGTGACAAACTCCACGCCTTGGATGGGAGGCGGTGTGTTCTGTGTGTGCTTGAGGATAAGGGCCCGCTTTGAGAGGAGCTGCCAGCCAAAAAGAATCTCGGAATAGGCACGCTTGAACTGGTCGAACAGCGGCATCTTGGTGCGTCTGATCAGAGAACAGGAATAGGCATCGGCTTGCAACTGTTTGACATCCAGCCAGTCCAGGGAGTCCGACCAGGAATTGCTGCGCATCTGCTTCATCTGCTGCCAATGGCTGGAGGAGCTGGACTTTACGTCCAACGGGAGCACCGTGTGGTAAGGCGACAGCTGAGCGTTCAGTTGCGGTGGCAAGCGACTGGGCACGGCCACGTCCATTATGCCACCCGTGGGACACTTGTCGAACAGGCAGGCCAAGAGGACGGACGTCTGAATATCACCCGAGCTGGCGTAGTGCATGATCAGCGACTCCAGCAGGGATTTCTTGAAGGGATCCTTGTAGAAGAGCAGCTCATTCATCGTCTCGTGCGGTACATGCGGAGTGGCTATCAATTCCGCCAGCAGCCAGACGGGCAACAGGTCCATGCGTCCATACTTGCGACAGATCTCGAGATTGCGCCGGCACGTCTCTGCTATGTTGTGCTTGTCCAAAGAGAATTCCCTGGCCATGTTGCGGCTGACATGGAGAAGACTGCTGGCATCGTAGACATGCACCACGGGACTGCCATTCATCTGCCTAATGGCACGCTGTTTTCCTGGTTTGAGTGAAATCATCCGCTCCTGGAGATAAAATGACGCGTTTGCATCCCTTTGGGCTGTGCCCATTACATTACCCAGCAGCCCGCTACCGTTGATGGCAGAAAGAGTCCTTGGGGTCATCGACTGATGCTGTCGGAGGGTCAGCCGCTTGTTGTTCACGGGCTGGGCAAACGTGGTCAGCATGCCAATTGCATTGAAATGCACGCCCGAAGTGCGTGGAAAGGGAATGCAAGCATCGTGCAGGGCACTCGAGAGAGCTCCCTCCAGCCTGGGGGACTGCAGCAGCAGTTGACTTCGGTCTTCGCCCACGCCCCCGACAGCAGCCACCTTCTTTTTCATGGCCGCCACCAGAGCACGCAGGCATTGCTCCAGGCAAGTACGCGATTTCTTGACTCGCTGCAGGGCGTTGCATCGCAGGATTTTCATGAGTATGGCACTAACCTCGCTGGACAGCGTCGTGCCCTGGCACAGCTGAAACACTGGCGGGACACTGGGACTGGGATACGATGTGGAGAAGGTGACCTGCAGTATGACCGTGTGCCCACCCGCACAGATCTTGAAGCAGGCATACCGCTTGATGGCATCCAACATGTCCACCTCCACATGCGGCATGTTCGTGTTCAGAAGCGAGAACTCGTGATGGAGCGAGCACGTGGGTTGATCTGTCAGCGACCTGGCTATATGCGGCTCCTCCCGGCGACAGTAGCCTCCTCCGAAGCTTGGCGAGCGTGCCATGGGCAGCGTATTGCATGCCCCATCGCCCGTAGATATGGGCAGCGAGCCAGCGGTCGCCGCCACCGAACGTGGATGCAAGAACTCTGGCGGCGTGGGCACTCTCAGTTCACTCAACTCGGGCTCATAGCGTGGTTCCTCTTCGTCGGCGGATGGCTCGCACAGCCTCAACATATTGTCATCGATTTTCCAAACTCTCAACGTGCGATCTCTGGACCAGGTAACCAGCTCCTGAAAGGTGAATTCATAATTAAATCATCCGTAGGAGGGGGTATGCTTACAATTTCAGTGAAATTCTCGCGATTGGGACGCCAGGCAAAGTCCAGAATGACATCCGTGTGACCCACAAACGAGCAAATGGGATCCGTTTGTTTGCTATTGCTCCAGAGCAGCAGACTATTCTCGCCGCGGCCCAAATGTGGCACCACAATGCTAACCAGGCCGTTGCCAATGGGCTGCAATACAGTAGATTTAAATTACTTATTATAGAGCCATAAGGTAGGGGGGACGGGACACTACCGTGTAGCGTGCTCGCCAAACCGGCGACATTGTGGTGATGATCTTCTCTGCTCTGCGGGGATTGCACACATCAAAATACTTGACAGTGCCATCTTGGCTGGCAGTGGCCAGGCACGTCTCTCGCCTGTGACTCCAGTTGATGCCATGAACTCGATTCAAATGGGCTGTAATGTAATGCGTGGGACAGCTACCCTTGCGTATGTCCCAAATCCGTAGATCGCCATCATGGGCGGCAGCCAGCAGATTCCCCGACACGCGATTGAAGCCCACCTGAGTGGCACCAGCTGCAAAAATAGAACAGAACATACATGAGAGGAGAATCCATGGGGATCGATGCAATCTATTTACACATGCAGACGGCATTCAAGGAGAGGGCTGGCTTGCGCGGCTCCCGCAGGTCCCAAATGTGTGAGAAGGTGTCAATGGAGCAACTGACCAGCAAATTGGGATCCTTGCCATGCCAATCAATGTCGGTCACAGTGCGGGTGTGTCCACGCAGCGAGTTCTCATAGTAGGGCTCTGCCGGACCCCAGCGCACAATGTCAATATGCTGGCTCGTCTGCAAGAAGGAAAAATCATGAAAATCGTCCTGCTCAAGGATTCACTTCTCTTACGGCTATTGCGCAGAACTCTTTACGGCTGGGGGTTATGGCAAACTCCGCCACAGACACCTCGTACTTGGACTGGCGCTCGTGACGTCGTAGAGTTCCATCGTCTTGGCCCAGGCGCTGCAAGGCGAGATAACCACGCCCCGCCAGTAGCACCCACTGGCCGGAATAGTCTACGGACATGGCCGTAGCCTGGGAATCGCGGTGCTCATAGTATTTGTTGCTTTGTCTTATGATGTATGTCTGTTCAGAGGCGGCACTGGAACTGGTGCCTGTGCCAGCGCCTCCCATTCCTGTGACTCCACCAGCAGCACCACCGCCTGCACGCTCTCCCGATCGCAGAGTCTCCGTTGGTGGCATCTTTTCCGTTAATGTGAGTGTGCGGGGTGATGTGGACGATGTGTAACCAAAACGGGATCAAATTAGTCCATTTTGTGCAACAAACAAATAAAAATTAAACAACGAAAAAACAACTGATAAGGGGACCTTCCGCACGCTCCCCCCTCCAAGCAGTGCTGTAAAACGCGAGTAGCTTGCATTTTAAGTGTGACCGGAGTGTTTAGAAGCTTTTTAGCATAGCCCGCCAGATTCTAATCGGAAAGGCGCAAGTAAATTTGAATTCAAATTTCTGCAAGTCTAATTTTCTTTTATTCATGTATATTTCACAACATCTTCTGACACAAAACTGTTCACATACACACCACACACATAACACATAAAGGGATCTGTTTAACCAGCTATAAGTTCGCTATCAATTCTGTTACATTTCTCATTGATTATTATACAAAAATAATTGGGGCAACGAATTGTATAATTTGATCAATATTAAGATTAATTGTTATTGTGTTGTATTGTCCGCTAATTTAAGGAAAACTAAACCATTTTTCTACGCTACCACTACCAAAACTACAAATGCATATACATATGTATATGCACAAGAGAATGGAAACTCTTTCACATTAAAGAGCATTAAAATTTGATTATTCTTTATACAAAGTGTACGCATAGCATATCTATTTCATAGAAATAAACTTAGTGGTATGGCTAAGGCTACGTATTGGGTCTCAAGTCTTTGACAAATTACCCCTCCTTGTCCCGTACCGTCCCCACCCCAAATGCTTATCTGACTTATCTATGGCAATAGCAAAACATTTTAAGTGCCGGATCATTCATGCAGTAGCTCTGACTCCCATACAGATTGATGCGACTGATGGTTCCGGTCAGTACACTCGTATATCCCGACATCCTCACCGTCGACTCGAAGACAGCCAGGCCGGGCTTCGTTTGCATACGCAGCGTAATATCCACGGCATAGTCCGTGGATATATTCTTGACAATCTTGTGATGCGGGGCGGCAATGAAGGCCTGCAGTATGGAGTTCAGATAGAGCGTTCGGCACTGGGCGTTCTCCTTCAGTCGATTGTTGATGAAACGCACCACATAGCGTGCGGCGCGCTGCACCCGGCCATCGTTGGTCTGAATCTCCTGGCGCTGATGGCACGTGCACCAATGGGAGGCGATGCCAGCCTGCTCGCACGTTCTTTCCGCCGGTATGGGCAGAAACAGGCTGATGCCGCGCGGCAGGATGCCATCGACATCATTGAACTCTTCCGCCTTCTTCAGCACTTGTTCTGCCTCCAGGTTGCCCATATCCAGCAGATGCAGCATTGTGGCATGCACATCGAAGGGCGTGGCCAATCGTCGCGAGTTTGTTCTCAGATTGGCTATGGCCTCCGGGTAGCGTTCGTTCATCCACGGCGGATAGAGCATGGTCATCAGCGGCTGTCGTTCCTCCATCATGCCCTGGTAGGTGCGCCGAAAGGAGCCCCAGCGTAGGCCATGATCGGACAGAAGCATCACCACCGTACGATTGAGTACTCCCGAGTTCTGGAGCTGTCGTAGGCGCGTTACCATGGCCTCATCCAAGAGTGCCGGAAAGTTGAAGTAGTCATGGGTGAGGGTCACAGTCCACAAGAACGAGAAGAACAGGTCCTTGCCCATCTTTGGCACCATTTTCGTCAGATATTCCAAGAGCACATCCGGCGTACGTCTGCCGCCCATGCAGAGTTTCACATTGACGTCCTTTTTGTAGGCCAGCGTGCGTTCCATTTCCAACAGGATGGGCCGCAGATAGTAGTCCGTCGGCTGCTTATGGAACCCATTCTGATTGAAGTTGAACGCCGATATCCGTCCGACATCCTCGGCAAAAAGGGTCTTGTAGCCAGCCTGCTGGTAACGCTTCCAAATGAAGGAGCAGCCGTCGTAGGTCTGCTTGGCCTTGGGTGCACAGGCGATGTTTAGTTCCTGATCGTCCAGACCGCTCAGCATGGGCACTATGTTGGGGAAAGTGTTGTCCCCCACCTTGTTGTAGCCCCAGAGTTCGACGTGGGACAGATTCTTCTTGATGTAAGCGGCCGTCTTTCGCATTTGTCGAAGGAAGTTCAAGTGCGAGAGACTGTCAATGCCCAGGATCATCACAGACAGTCGCTCCGAAGCAGCCTCCTTGCTCTGATTAAAGCTAACCCTCTCCACACCCGGCCTGGTCGTGATCTTCTGCACTGGCTTGTCCACCGCAAAGAAGTGGCAGTCCTTGTAGATGCAACGGTCTGTGGAGTCGTAGCACCAGAGGCAGAAAAACTCCATTTCCGGCGGCAGATGCATGACCTTCTCCAGCTTAAAGCTGACGCCCGGCGAATAGGTGTTGTTCCAGTCATTTTTCCGCTTCACCTCCGTATAGTTGCAGCTCACGGCGGACAGATCGCTGATGTTATAATGAGACAGAAGCTCGTTGGTGTTCAGATTCAGATGCAGTTCGCCAGGCACACTGTCACTGGTACGCGTCAGCGGTTTGTTGCACTTGTAGGCACTCGGCTTGAAAATGAATTGGGCTATGTTGTCATCGACCACCTCAAAGTGTGGCATGCGGCAGCCGGTGGTTTCCACAAAGTACGCCCGACTCAGTTTGCCACCGTACGAGTCCTCGATCCTGGCCACAAAGTCGAAGCCATCGCGGAAGCGCAGCAGCTTTGTCCTCAGATTATAGTCGACGCACAGATACGAGAAGACGCACAGGCAGAATATGACAATCACAATCTTCTTGAACTGCCCGCGATTCTTGTTCATGTTGTAGTAGCGATAGTAGTGCTGCAGGTCTCTTTTCGTCATAAACTTCGGATCCAGCAGGTATTTGCTTCTGCAGGAGACAGGGGAGATTGATGGAAAGGGATTTAATTAGAATTTGCAGTATACATCGTTTGGGTTCGTATTTATTTATAAGAGTATTAATGTCAATGGAAAAATACCCATAATCGGGGCGTGCCACAGATTGTAATTCCAACGCAGTTGAAATTCGCTGAAAAAGGTTTTATGTTACCTTTCGCTTACGACACTATTTGTAAAGTGAAGTTCTGGGTTTTTTTTAAAAATGCTGCCAGTATATCTGATAAAATAATAAAAGGTATATTGATTTCGGATAAACGACTATCCCCATCTGTCAATCCGTCCATTTGTCGGGACAAATATGTACAGGTAGTTGGATACGGCTGCACCTGGACGGAGCCCTAATCTGTTTGATAAATGTTGCGCCACACCGAATGGCATTACACCTGTGGCGACCGTGGACGTTTCTCAGGGAAAGGTTTTAACTATTACGCAATGATTTTATTAGCTTGAGGTTAGGGTTAAGTTGACAATATTAGGCAGAGGGGGTGCGCTGTGTTTCCCTTGAGTGTCGCTCGCAGACTTCATCATCGACTGCCGTTCATGGCCGAAGCTTTAGTTCTTCATTCTCTTCGATCGCCTGGTACGCCCAGAGAAAATACAAAAGACATGCATAAAGCATATTTCCAAATATGAAATCATTGACCCTGTGAAAACTTTAATTGCCGAAACACAATACAAACATACATACATCACAGGAAATAGAAGATCAGAAGCAAGAGCACTTGGTTAAATCGGTAGATACGTCGATTAAATAAATTTCCTACTAGCTTTTAGTGATTTATATTTATATTGAATACATTGTTTGCCTCTTAGAAAAGCCGAATCGGATCACTTGAAATCAATTTCATTACTAATTACGGCTCACAGCTTACAGCTTACGAAGTGCAGCTGCAGTGACGTGTGGGAGCCGAACGCGGCGTGTGCTCGGGTCGGCTCGTCTTCGGCGGACTGTGGGAGCTGTGGGTGTGGGCGGCAGCATAAGAGAATAGCGGGCCCTTAAGAGTGCTATAACGTAAACAGGCGGAATTATTAAAAAAAGCTTACGAGCTTACATTTGCTAAGCAACGTGTTCTGGCAGTGTCTTGGCTGAAGAATACCCCATCTTAGGGCTCAGTTTGGTTTGGTTCATTGGCTTGATATTTCGCTGAAGTTCCTTTCAGTCTTCACTGACCTTTGTGAAGGCACGGCTGCGTTCTTTTGGGTTCATTGTCTCCGTTAGCCTTCACTCAGGAGCCATTAATTGAGGCAACAGAACAACATAATGAATGCCCACAACAAGGGGAGCAGCTCGAGTGGCCACTCAGCCGAAAGCCCTTAATCCGCTGCCCACCACCCACCACCACCTAGCCCCATTTCCCTCCAGCCAGCCACAGTCTTTTCCTTAAAGCAGGGAATTATTTAAGCTGGCGCTAACTCATAAATATTCAGGCGAGGAATGCCCATCCATATGCCTCTGCCCAAGAAAGTAGGCAGCTCTGGCTTACAGTCGTATGCACAGATGCAGTGTGGACGAGATTTGCCGTTAACCCACTTCGCCCAGGTGCAATCCATTCAACACAAATTTCTTTTCCCATCCATCCGATTTTGTACAAAAACAAATTCTCAATTGACACTTTGGATTGCTTTTTACTCGAGCAAACACACACACACACACGCACAAAAGAAAGGTTGGGCTGCAGGGAGTCGAAGCAAGAGATACCCTTTCTGAGGCATGGTTTGATATGAGTGCTATGTGGAAGGGGCTTGGATTTGTATGCAATTTGTCTTTTGATTGGTATCTAATTATGTAAAAACATGGACAATTGATAGACAATGCCTGTATTGCTTGGAATTTATTCCCAAAAACAGCCTAAGAGCCTGGTTGCTCTGGCTATAGCTATAAATTGTAATGTAGGATACATCTCAGGCTACAATTTTATAAACAAATAAATTATAAGTTCCAAAATAGACTGCTTTTTTCGCTTCTATTGCATATATATTTATTTGTGCTCTGATTTATCCGATCTTGCCTTCTGATCTACATATATTCTGTGTGACAAGTATACCATCCTTCCTTGCGTTACAAACATCTCATCAATATCATAATACCCTTTTTGAAGCTTACAATAACACAGAAATGAAATGGGTTGAAAAGGAGGACGAAAGAGACCGATAGTGAGGCAGGAGAGAAGTAAGCATTGAACATTGAAATGGCATTCGATGCTGCTGGCGATGACACACAATGACACACCTGTCTCCTCTCCCTCTCTTCGCTCTCTCTTTCTCTATGCTATGCCTTTCGGTGACTTAAATGTCTCCTCTCCCCTTTACAATCTCCCTTTCTCTCCCACACCGTACTCACTCATAGCTCAAATCGCCGTATTTTCGCATATCCTTCGCACTGTAGTAGGTACGCATCTTTCCAAACAAATCCTGACGCGCTCTAAGTTCCGCTTTGCTCTCCTTACCCCGCTCTCTGTTCTGTTCACACTCAAGTCCTTGACATGTTGTTTGCTTTCTGTTTAGCTGCCTTTTGTCTCTGCCTCTTGTTTTGGCTCTTCTAGCATGTGCCGTTCTGCTCACTTCTGTTGGCACCACTAATTGTTTGTGTGGCACATTTTCATTTTATGCACTTTCGATACAACAATTTTCACACGACTGCACTAGCTACTGCTGCTGCTGCTCCTCCTCCCTCCTCCTCCTTGCGGTGGCCGTTCCAAATGTGTTATGTTGTTGTTGCTGGTATCGTTTTTGATTGCTTTTGCGGGAGAAATTACTGCAGTTTATTTCCGTTGATGGCTGCTCATCAATGAAAGGCTGAATCGAGCATTGCCAAAGTTTCGGAAGCTGTGCCAGGTCCAGGCTCCAGGCTCCAGACTGGCTGGATTACTGCCTCTCTCTCTCTCTCTCTTACTGGCGTGTGTGGGCAAGTTGTGCGCATGCGTGTGATTCGAACAGCTGTTCCCAGGGATGCTGTGGCACAGAAAATACACAGGGGGAAATATTTGTAGCTATTGTGCTTGCAAGGGCAACGTATGCATATACAATTTAAATCAATTTAATCTTTTCTTAATTTAAATCTCGGGAATGTTTTGGAAAACTAGGAATATAGAAAATCTATTCTCTATTAGTCGCGAAATTGTTGCTGTTGGAAGAGTAATGAGTAATGAGATCATACCATCCTTGTTCTTGAAGATGCTATTCATGCAAAAAAAAGGCTAAATCATATTGAAAGCGGAATGTGTCTATAACAGGATTCTACCGAGAGCCTTTAATATTTCCCGAATTAACAACATTAATTTGTAGCTCCTCGTTTCCTACTGGCAATTTTTCAAGGTCTGAGTAGCACTTAGCCAATTGTAAGCCAGTCTTTGCAAAAAGAGTCTATACCAAACATAGCATCTTAAGCGGCTTTGTTGTATCTTTTTTTAGACGAAAGACCTACACAGATCAGGAATCTAGATAGCTACTCGTATCTATATATCTACACTTGTACATTAACAAATATAGCGCATTTTTCCGGAAACTAGGTATCTAATATTATGATGTGTCCATTCGAGATGCAGACATGTTTTCCTTGTTGTGACAAGTCTTTGGCCGATGTCCAGAAGCTATCTCTGAGATACTGGTTATAGTTTCTGATTTATCTAGGGTTTCAAGCGAGATAGAATGAACCAAAGAGCATATATGTTATAAACATTTACCTAGGGCTCGATTAGTTCTACTGTAATCTCCAATAAGCTCCTATTAAGTTCGGTCTGTAATAATAATGATTGGATTCCATCTTAAACGCATTAACTGACATGCATATGAGTGGATAATTTAACTTGTTTTCCCAAATGTTTATGGCATAGTTGTGGGCTTTAATTGCGATTCGATTTGCATGTTGCAAATATATACATATATGTAGCAAGCTGCGTAATTAACCGTAGGATTCTTTTTGCCAGCCAATGTTTTATGGCCAATGACCTTTGGTTTGCAGAGCTCGCTCCCGCTGTTCCTCGAGAGAAATCTTCGTCTTGATTGGTTTTGGGTATTTTGTGTGTCAGTGGGAGTTAGCCCTCCCCATCCCATCTACACAAAAACGGTTTAATGTGTGTTAAATATTCATAGATATAATTGAAGTCTAATGGAATGGACAGCAAAGAGTGATTAACTTTTTGGCATGCAAATTAATCTGTAAAAGATCTTAATATTTGGTTAATTTCGAAAGTACCTCGAAAGAAAAGACCCTGGCTAGAAATTGAACAACCCAAAGGCTGATAAGATTGCGCATCCCACACATGTACAGAATTTTGTATACTGTTCTGTTGAAATAAATATTCGAAAAATAAGGCAAAAATTAATGAGCCTTAAACCCAGAATCCCTATTCAGCCATCGAGTACGAGTGCTCTTTGTGCACTGCAATTCCAGAGTTATTTACATGCAAAATACTTAAGTATCGCACACACACAGAACGACCAAGACAGAGAGAGAGAGAGAGAGAGGCAGAGGACACATGCAGCGAGGAGTCAACAGAGTTCGTCCATGCCTGAACATTTTGCCATTCCTCCACCTCAGGGCTGAACAGCCAACAAGTGGAGAGCCGAGGCAGGGCAATCCTGCCAAAGGACTTTCGCATATCGCTCATTAGACGGACCTACCAAAAAAGCGCAACAGGCTGCAATAAACCCACACAGGCACATACACATATATGTGCACTGGGAAAACCAGCAGCAACTAGAAAATATATTTTCAAATCCTTTAAGTTCAAGTTTCCGAAAGGAAATATAGAATTTTTAAAGATTTTAAATACAACGTACGGACTTTATATGATGGGGGAGTTTTTTCCATATCTACTATCAAACCACTCAAATAGCTCGCGATCAAAATGAAATTCAACTCTACATATAGTACATGTTTTTTTTTCCTGTGTACATAAACTGTGTATATCACCCACGTACCATCGTATGTGTGTGTGTTTGTGTGTTAATAACTTGGCTGCAGGCAGGACATGGATTTTGATGTTCAATAATTACAGCAACAACAGCCACAAGCAGTCCCTGCGAGAGTGTGGGAGAGAAAGCAGCGTAAATCAAAGTATGAAAAAAGCATTTCACTGTTGATCAGACCACCGCATTGCCCCGCCCCCTTTGAAGCTGTTCCTTGGCGATTAACAAGCATTTATAATGTTTCATTATTGTAAAAAAGGACGAGGAAAAAAGCCAACCGAAACGAGGACCTGCTTCTGCTATAAAAGCGTCAGGCGCATAAAGGCAACGCTTCAGTTGAAATTTCAAAAGTGTCGAAAGCAGAATTCTGAGCCAAAGCATCCCAGTGGCAGGAAGGATTGACATTAATTAGTTTTCTGCAGCTAGAAACGTAATGCAGCACCAACGAGGGCAGGGCCCACTGCATACTTCGAGGCGCAGGTGGAACAGGACCAGATCCAGCGACAGGAATGGCATGGGCAGCGAGGGCGGTGGCAGGAGCCCCAGCAGTAGAACCTATCACCTGCCAGCCTTGTTGATTATCCTGCTCGTCCTAATCCAGAACTTTGAGCTTCACATGTGCCGGCAATTGATGAGGCAGCCAAATGACAAACGCTCCAAGGACAAGCTCTCCTTCCTGGGCAGCGCTGCAGCCTCGGCCCAGGCTGCCTTGCCCGAGGCTTTGGCTGCAGATGATAAGCGAACTGCAGGAAGGTCATCTCCCAGCCAGCCCGAGGAGATATTCAGTGCCCCGACCGACGATAGCTACGACGAGTACCCGGTAAGTGGACATCACGCCAGGACGCCAGACATCCACGAAAAACTGGGAACCGATACCTGTGTGGGTCGTGTCGGGGTCACCTTTTGCTCATTTGCTGTTTTTGTTTTTCCTGGAAACCTATCTTCTTACGCACAATTTGTAATCGTATATTTTTCATTTGATTGCTTTTGCTTTGACCCAAAGGTAAATTTCTGACAAAAAATCTGACGTCACGTTGCTTTTGATTATGGAAGGTCCTAACACGTTTAATGAGCCGTAGGCTAAAACAACATTTTCAAGAATTTAAGTGGCTAATGTAGATGCGTGGGTAGTTCCAATAGAGGCCTCTAACACGAAAGTTCTGGAAAGTAATACCATAAAATTTTATAGGAAATGTATGCAATTGCATACATAACAATTTGTGTGGGTGTTAGAGTGAGCAATGATTTGGGCCATCGAACAAATAAAGCAAGAAACATGCCAAATTGTAGAGCAGAAAAAACAGACGACCGAATCGAACAAGATAACGAAAATGTGCGTGTGAGCATGCCTCAATTGCTTGAATTTCAATCACAAGTTCCTCTTGCGACGGCAAAACTCTTCGATTCATAATTTGTTAAGGTTTCTTGAACTACTTGAACTTATTTTATCGCTCCCTCCACAGATGGTTGTACCGAAGCGTGCTGCTCTACTCCTGGATCGTCTGATGGTGGCTCTGCACCATGCCCTTGAACAAGAACGCGGGGGACATCGAATCGGTGACTTCTATGCGGACAAGAACAATCTGAATGTCAAGTTGAGTGAATACAAGAACGGATTGGAGGAGCACCAAGCAGGGGATCAGGATGGTAAGTACTGAAATAGAATCTCGCCTTCTAAACTTGTATAAATTGAATTGGACTTGCGATACAGGGGTCAATCTGCATATGTATAGCGATGATGATCCGGGCGTAATGTTGGATTATGATTTCAAAGATTTGAATCAGATCAATCGCGCCACCGGCGAAACAGTAAGTTGGAATATAAAACCTAAATTGCAATATAAGACATAAAATTAGCAGCGCGATGTGTAAGAAAATTTCAGTTAATGGCAAAGAGCTTTCAGAGAAGAGCCGGTGCGGAATCGGAGCGAACCGGATCGCCCGCCACCGCCGCCACTGGTTCCCCCACTGGTTCCCGGCGCATACACCCATCCCCCCATGGCACTGGCGGTGGTCGCATGTACTGGCGTTGCTATTTCAATGCCGTCAGCTGCTTCTAATTTACCATCAATACCATCAAAAGTGCAGCTCTGGAGTGAAACGATACGATCTCCAAACAGATCTCCAGAGAGGTCTTCTGTTTTGGAGACAGTTTCCGTTTCTCCGTTTTTGGTGGCTGCTGTGAGAGTTGTTCGCGCAATTAACTGAAAAAATCCCAACATCCAATTCAAGTTCTGTCATTTGTATCTAGAGGTATCTGTATCTTGTATCTGTATCTGTAACTGTATCGGTGTATTTGTAGCTCTGTTTATCAATGGAACTCACTGTGAAACTGCGTTATAAATAAACCACAAATGATAAATCCAATCGCATTCATAAATAAATTAATTCATATTCTTTTTCGCATACACCCATCCTATATATTCCTATAAAAATACATACATGAGTACATAGTATATCTCTTGGGGAAAATACGGCACAGACAGGAGTATCGTAATCCCAGCCATGCTTAATGCTGATTGACATGACCATAAAACTTCATTCCAACCAAATCCATCCATCGCATGCCCTGAACTCGTGTCTCCCATTGCGTTTTATTTTCGGTTGCAGAACGGGGGCGGAAGTGCTTCTTATATCGGTCAGTATCTTGATATACTGCTGTTGTCAGAGTTATGGGGGCCTATTGAAATGACTGCCTCAGACTGATCATCTGTCCCAGGCGATCAGCATTGAGGGAATAGCATTCGGTAGCAGCTTCGAGACATCGTCAATCTTGTGTGGAATCTCGAACCTGGCAAAAAGTAATAGTCAAGACAGTGGAGTACCTCAAAGAACGCCTATTCTTAGCACTATTATTCAATGCCCACAAAGCTTGGATACCAGTAGGTATCATAAAGCTTCTAAGAACCAGAACCAACTTTGTATTCAGACTTTTGTGATATCACACGATTACAAGTTTCTAAGCTGTGGCATCCAGAAACCCAAAATCATAAAAAATTACCATATCTATAAGATTGCCGAATCTGGCTTAGATCGGGTCATTATTGTAGCCAGAAGGCAATGCGCTAACTCATTCTCTTTTATTCTTATACACTCTTCTTCGTGTAATGTGCACCCTCTGGCGGAGGGTAGCGTTTGAGGTATAAATGTAGAGCCCTAGCCGCGTCTCACAACGTTCCCGCTCGTTTTGTTCTATAATCTTCGGCTATCTTAGTTCTTTTGCTACATATATTACCATACCTGCTTTCATCTTCAACTCCCCTCGAATTCTTTATTCCTCGCACTCTTATTTTTAGGCAATCCACCTTCACTTTAATGCAATTTCCATCTCCACACCGTCTTTCTGCTGTCAATATGGTGCATCTCCTTTGGTGTCCTTTTGAATGTAAATTAACCACTTAAACTTCTGGCAAACTATCCTGCGCTCACTTTCCCCACTCAATGCATACCATTACCCAACCTATAGGTCGTCCTTCCCCTACTTGCAGACCAGCCCGCAACTGTTAGGCCAAACTGAACGATCGGCTTAAGTGTGCAATTCACGTACTGTATGCCTCAGACATTTCCTTCAGCTTTTGCATTTGAAAGTTTTATCTGGCGGCCAATGGCAAAGTTTTATTGGCCAATAGAGCGCATTAATGAGATTGTTTGGACGGACATTAATGAACTTTTATGTGCAATTGCCTTCGTTAATTGATGGTCTCCAGCTCCCAGGAAGGGAGGAAAATCCGCCTCACAGCAGAGTACTATGTGAGTGCCTGTCCACCTCCATAATCTCTTCCTGCCACATGGCGCGATTTCCTTATCAATGGGCCGTAAATCAATGGCAGAGCTGCTGCCACTACTATCCGTGTGCATTTTGGACTCGTTTTATGTAACCTCTACGTCATAGATCCCGGCGTCGAAACGTATGCAACAAGTCTCGCCCCGCCGCAACCCAACAACAGGCAACAGGTGCCGCTACCTATCCTCTGATACTCACCACGCCCGGTGGGGGGGTGGTTAAGCGTGGCCGAAGGGGGTGGGATTAATGGTGGCTGTTCGTGTGGTGAAATAATAAGTCGCACACATATTGTTCATACGCACCGTTGTACGAGCCACAGCAGTGGGTTATCGACTAGAGGATGCTCTATATGTGCTGGCAGTGGGTTGATTTTGGCGCCTTCGGGAATCAGTATTACTTGGGGATGCTCCTGGATGTCTATTAGACCACGAGTATATAAGGCGCCCTTTGCACCATGTAACCCAAAGGACAGATCTCGGTTAACAAGATATAATGATAAAAAACGGAGGAAAAGTGGCGAAAAGGAGTGTTCTCTACATTATACAAATATCAGAAATTGGTAATATATACCCCTTTTGCAGAATACTTTTATAGAAATTAATCTGACATTTGGCAACCTTCTTACAGATCTGAAAGAACCCATGTACCCCATCCATAGGCCAAGTGTAACAACAAGTGTTACTTGTTGCAGTATCGCTTGACATGAGGCATAAAGCTTTGCCCAAGCAGACGCCCCACCTAGCTAAGGCAGAGCCAAAGCCAGAGCCCCTTCCTTCCCCAATTGCTTCCTCGTGCTTCCTGCTGCTGTTGCTGCTGGCTCTGCTGCTTCTGCTGCTGCTGCTGCTGATGGCTTCGTCGTTGGCGTTGTCGTTGCTGCTGTCGTCGTCAGCCAATGGCAGAATGTTGGCTATTTTGTATATAAAGCCCAGTGTCAGACATGGCCAACATCGAGTTAACCATTTCCCTTCTTGGCGTTCACATCGAGAGTGGCAGCAGCAACAAGTCAGCCCAAAGTCCAAGGATCAGATCAGAGTTCGGTTTAGCCAAATCCCAAAAGCAAATAGTACCCACAATTAACAGGAATCGTCTACAGTTCGTCGTCTGGCACCAGATTTGTCCAATTTCGCGACGCCACTTAAATTGCCGGCCATTTCCAGCCCATCCCCAAATCAACGCAAGGAATCGGTGAGTACCGGAGGTTCGAGCCGTACAAATTGTGTGTGCCTACCTTTTGGGCCCTTTGGGGGGCACTAAACCGGCCGGCGATTAATTGAAATGGGCATTTGTGTGTCAACGCAAATGAATTTGTGGGCGCGGAAATTGTGCGACAAGTGAATTATCGGAGGCAGAGTGAGTTATGGCCCAGTGATATCATATCATATGGGCAGATATCCACAGGGATTATTGAGTACACGGGAGTGCAGTGAGTTGTTACCGATGATAGGAAAATGGAAAAGATCACATGGAAATATCGAGAATCAATTGTTAACAACGATTTTGATGTGTAAAGTTGGCTTAGCAAAGGCTTATGGAAAGTGTTTGAACTACTATCAGATAGAAATATCATTGATTATAATGATAAAGACATAAATATATAATTGGCAATCCTTCAATCAAGCTTGGAAAATCCAATATACATTTTTATTTTGCTCTCAAGAAACTTCTTTTCTTCCTTTACGCCCATCATTCAGATCTGAAAATTGTATCAGTTTTCCAAACTGTTTCTGGAAAAAAGAAATCTAAACAGTTGATGCCATTTTTTAAATCTTTTAGAACATTTTATTTATAGAAAAAAGTGAAAGAAAGTTTTCCGCTTGATTTTCTGTAGAAATATAGTTTGATTCTGAAATAAATTGAAGATGTTTCGGAAAACTCAAACTGAGTTTATTGTGAAAATATATGTAAAGGATTGAATGGAGGGATTACTTCAAGCTTCACGGAAATGGAAAAGCTCCATACGTTATATGAAAATCTGAAAAAGAAAGCAAATTATACAAAAATTATAAATAAAAGTAAAAATAAATAGGCTCATGTTATGGTAGAAAATTTGTAGTTCAATCATTCAAGAGATTGAAAATATTCATTTGAATAGTAAAACATTTAAATTTTTGTTGTTTTCAAATTTAAGTTCATTGAACAAATAACTATCTTTATTAATATATTTTATGCGTACAATTTTTAGTAAAAACCTGAAATACCTTCTTTACTTTCTGTAATAAATTAGCCTGAAAGACTTTCAGCATTTCTGTTTATGTTTCCACCAAAATTTTTGGATATTTTGAAAGAAACGCTTTAACAATGAAAAATATTTATAGCTGTTTTTAAAATAGCTTTTTCTACTTCAAAAATAATGAAAGTCCAAAGGCACTCAGAAATGTTCATCCGAAAAAGAGCTTAGGGAAAAGTCGCAGCACATTTATTCGACATTTTAGCGCCAGGAAGGTGTGCGAAAGGTGCTGGGGCCTTTGTTATGGAAACACCAGAAACACCCACAGGCTTACAAATATATGCCATTCGGAGTCAATACATCATCTGCTTTTAGCCCTTTGCTCCCCCATGATGTATTTAAATGTAATTTTTGTTTTGAATTTATGTACGTAAATGCGTCACTCCGGGGACCAATGGCTTGAGCTGCCTAATGACGGAGTAGGAGAGGAAACCTCCTACGCTTCGGGTTGAATGAAAATGATTTGAATTATTTATGGAGTGTAGAAAAATCTGGCCAAGTGAAGAGCTAACTTTGTTCAGTTCTGTTTTGGTTTTCGTTTTGATTTAAACTTCAATCTCCATTCAAGAGCCCCAAGTTGATAAATAACTCGACTTCACTTGGCTCTAGACTGGGTTCGACTCTCGACCGATTCCTGCTGAAATGAAGCCGCAATCAAATTGCATTTAATATTTATTAGAATTTCCCTTTCCGTGCTTGTTTTTTCTCCTTTTTGGTTTTTTTTTTGGCTGTGGTTCGAGGCCATCAATGAGGCAGATAATTTTGGGCAGAATTTATGAGAGAAAAACCCGGGGAGGGAGTGAAAAGTGGGCCTTTAAAAACCAGGGGCCACTCAAAATAGCACTCGTTTAAATATTTAACAATTTAAATTAAATATGAAGATGGTTATTCAGCATAATTTATTTAACTTTGATGAATGTCTTGAGTCAAAAGTTGACAGTGCTTTTATCGACAATTAATTTCTAGACATCAAAACATCATCAAAGAGTTTTTTTTGTTAAAGTTTAAGGATTTAACCTTTCAATTTATAAAGTTTTCTTTACCGAAAATTTGTAATTAAATTCGAATCAAGGTGAATACTTTTTCGCCTCCAATAAAAACCATATCTTTCATAGCCTTAGAACCTTCCAATAGTCCCCAAAACCTTAACAGATTTGATCTCGTCTACAAACTCTTAATATTTCCAACCTTCCAGGAAATTGTCACAAGAATTTTCTGTCCATTATTTTTCAAGACATTTATTCCTATCAAATATTTACTTGTTACATTTATTTTCATTTCCTCAGTTTCCTTTTCATTTCGAGTGCCAACCATATTGACAAATCTCCCTCTTCCCCTCCATTACACATTTTTACCGGAAGCCGTCATTTCCCACCTCCAAATGGGGCGCCTCAGGCTCAGTAGCTCCAGAAAAAAATGCGCTGCAATAATTGAGCAAAGAATGTGGGCCTCGTCAGAGTCTTAAACTCTAATTGAGGACACAACTCTTCCGTTTAGGACGGTAGCGTTTGAACCGAAGTTGCCACAAATCAAAGCAAAACCGCAACGCGGTCCCGGCCGCCGAAACTCGATACAACTTCAAGTGCTCCTGTCCCCGAGCCCCAAGGAACTTCTGTTTATTTGAAGATGTCTGAAGTTGCCAAGTTTTGGGTGACGTGACTGACGTAATTTTAATTTGATCCAAGTGGAAATGGTCCCTAAAAAATATCATATGACCAGATAAATCACATGGCCAAGGACAAGGCTCTGGCAGGTCCTGCCAGACACACACACACACACACATTAATGATGCCCACGGCAGGTCCTTGACGCAAATATTTGGCCAACGACATTTGGTCCTTAGCTAATTATACCCTGTAATTGGGGATTGGATGGAGTATGTTGTATTGTTAGTATTCCTTAGTATTCCGATTCGAGTATTCCTACAGCAGGAATATAGAACATAACTTCCCCTTTTCCTGTCAAAATTCTTTTATGGAGTGCCTCCATCTCTGTTGGTCACATTCTACAAGAATTAAAGGGTGTCGTAATGCCGCCTGTGCAAGTACAGTACTCTCCTGTTTGAAAGTCCCTCTTAGCCCGGAGCCGAAACAACGAAAACTCAAACTGAAAACAGAACTAAGCTGCTTGTGGCATAGACGGCTCTGGCATCCTGGTCCAGGATTAGCCGGGAGGAGACCAACGTGAAAATTGCATTTTCCTTTTCCTCCGTTTTCACTCCTTTTGTTTCAGTTCCTGCATTGTCGTGGCGACGGCGGGTGGCGGGTGGCGGTGGCTCGACTCTGATATTAAATTTCCAATTAACATTGGAGCATTATTTATCGGTGGCAATAAAAGTGTCCTGATTATGTTTGGCTCCGGGCTCTGCTTAGGGCCTGGTGCGGGTCTGGTTTGGGCCTTTTATTATTCCATTCGGATCTGGCTAGAGTTCGACTGAGAGCCTGCCATCCATCCCACCCACAGCCTTGTTATTAGTTTTTATTTATCATCCCACTGCTGCTGCTTAATCTATCAAATATTTTATGAGCTAAAAGCGGTCTCCAGGCACGCAAAGTAGTGCCACTGTTAGGCATTATAATTATCTCTGTTTGGTATTGCATTTGCAAAGTGTTTCAGAGATTCGCCTGCAGTTTTGTCGTTGACAAACATTGGAAAATATATCCATATGCAGCTTGCTTTTGCACACAACATTTGTATGGCTTTATGGCAGGGCTTAGAGCCATTAATGGATAACAAATGGTGTGGAAATTGTTAGGTAGGGAACTGGAAAGATTTTAAATGTAAATTCAACGTTTGCCTACTTTTAGGAGATTTTCAGAAGGAAAGAAAAAATACAAAAAAAATACAAAGAATGTGTAGTACTTTTCTTGGATTACATTCATTCAATAATTACCTTCAAAATACGCTCCAAGCTTCGTTGAAGTTTCACAAAATTTAAATACTAAAATATTCTATTATTTATAAAGTCCTCTAATCCTCCTACAAACCACACAATTTTCAATACATATCCTTGGCCAGAAGCAAAGTCAGGAAAATGCAAAAATCACAAGCCATAAAATACTAGAAAATTCTAGCAGCTGCCTAAGGTCCTTGCTTTTTCCTTCGAGCATCCAAGCAGCTAAAGAAGCAACATTTTATGAGCTGCAGCAGCCAGATGAGACAAGTCATTAACATTTACGGCCTCCATCAATGAGGTCCTTCATGGGTTAGGGCCTCGTCTCTGGTGGTTTTTTATGTGCGTCGCTTACCTGTTGCATGCTGATGACACTGAAAGTCATTTGATGACCCCATTTTGCCGGGCTAAGCTAGTGTATGCCAGGGGATTTATCTACCCTACCCTACCCTACAGATTTCTTCTACATAGCTTCGGCTGCTTACGTATTCATGGTTTATGTATGGGGTTTTTCTTTTGATTTTCCGCCCACTTCATTGCCAACAAATTAGTAATTAGGTGTGGACTGCAAATGTTAGAGGAGTTAGAGGCCAAGTATTTGTGGATTGACTTGCTCTGATTACTGTATATGTTTAATGGGCTTTTCCTTTGATGCTTTTCCCAGGAAAAGGGCATAGTTTGACCTCCTATAGCACAAGGGAAGGAGGTAAATTACCCCCTAACTTTTGTAATTGGCAAATAAGTAATTAACATGTTAATGGTTTTGTATCTGAATTGATGTTTGGAGGTCCAGCAAGTGTAATCTGCTACATGTGGAATTTATTAGTGATATAATCTTCGATTCATAGACTTCCTTGAGGGTGACTTGGTAATCCTCCGAACTGAGCTTGGAATCTCATAACAAACTGTCAGAGACTGTTCAGATTGAGTCCTCGTGCTCATCCGCACTTACATAAGCCATCAGTCGCTTGAGCAGTCACACATCTGTGGATGTGTGGAAGAACCCATATATCAAACTCGAATCACGTTTCGGCTCAGCCTCGGGACGAAATCAATTAAAGTTCGCCCACTGGCCCACGTTTGAAGGGCAGTGTCCAGGACCTGTTATTGTGCGGCTGCCACACGTTGCACAATTGGCATTGTATTGTACGGATTATGGATGCAGGGCGCGTGGCTGTCTGGTTGCAGTGGCAATGTTTCGGTTGCAAGTTCATATCCGTTTTTAATTGCGGAAATGCACTTAAGCCGGGCTAAGGTGAAAAGCAGCAGCAGCCACTCGACCTGGCCGGACCCACCCTGTACTCCAACCCGAAAGGGTATGCGGGTCACGTTTGTGGAAACAAGTGTTCTGGTTGCAGCTCCAATCTGCTTTGTTATGAGTCCCTGTTGAGCGCGATACTCGTCGTACTCGTGTAAGGAAAAAACTGCACAGGGAAATCCGTGACCTTTAATTAAAAATATTGTCAGCCATCTTTTGTACAGTCTGTGAGGCATGCAACATGGCTTTGAGCTTCGCAGGCTGTTCGGTAACCGTAAAAGCGTTGGTTGCATGTGCTGCAATGGTGGCTCAAATTCTTGGAAGCCTCCCAAAGCCTTTACCATAAAGATCCGTGTTGTGCAATATTAGTTACGGATTAAACGGAGGAAACAACATACAAAAAAGCTAATCCAAAGGCACTTTAAGGCTAAGCTACTCTGTGAGAGAGTGGCACTAATTCTCTACTTTTATTCTCTACCACTTTCAGTTGAAAACCCCATCAAAATGATGAAATACGTGCAGATTCTGTTGTGCTATGGCCTGCTCCTGGCTCTGGTCTTCTCCGTCAGCGAGGCCCGACCCTCCACAGCCGAAACAGGACCCGTAAGTACATGCCTGAGATTGACCCTAGCTCTAATGAACTCTATGATATATTTTGATGCCGATGAAGGATGCCGATGGTCTGGAGGGACAGGAGGGTGAGGATGTTCGTGGCGCCTATGGTGGAGGCTATGATATGCCAGCCCAGGCCATCTATCCCAACATACCCATGGACCGCCTGCAGATGCTCTTCGCCCAGTACAGACCCACGTAAGAGGATGGGGAACGAGGGAGTGGTTCTGTGCATAATTAATCTGTATCCCAGTTACAGCGCCTACTTGAGGACCCCCTCCTATGGCAATATGAACGAGCTGTATCGGCTGCCCGAGAGCAAGCGTCAAGTGAGGTATCGGCAGTGCTACTTCAATCCCATCTCCTGCTTTAGGAAGTAAATTTGCTACCTCACCGGAAGTGTATCCGTACCGTAACCGAAAAGCCCTTGGATAACATTAACATTTCAAGCATTTCAAACAAAAAACAAAACCAAATCAAACCCAGCATGGAATTTAGCATAAAACCTCAGACAAAAATCTAACGCAAAAATGTTTAGTGCAATTAAACTAAAGCTAAGACTCAAAACTACATATATCTATATATATATACATCCCCCTTATATATGTATATCGCAAATATAAATGTCTAAACAAAATACTGCAAATAAATGCTTCATTGTAGTTACCAAAAAAAAAAGCAGATCGAAGAAATATTTATTGAAAATATATATTTGCAAGACAAACGAAAATTGTAAGCCCTTTTTGTGTCTTTTTCTACAATTCTTGATTTACGCTTGGCATATGGTGTGGTAAAATAATATATACAATGATTTCTGACTATATAAACAATTTGAATCGCATTGAATTGCAATTGAAATTTGCTTTTCTACATTTAAATGGTGCATTCAAGGCTCTTGTATAATACTAGCAACAATTTATGAAATGACAAAGTACAGTATGCAAATGTAAGAGCCGTATAACAATATCTCTATATACAAATCGATACATGTAATATATATCTACAATACATACATTAAATAAATAAAGTTATACGTATGCATACGAGTACGTAGAAAATAAATGCGAATGTCTAGGGTAAATTTACATTAAATGGAATTCTGAATCACAGATACTCTGATTTGGAATCAAATGTATATAATTCTATAAGCTTTTGATTATTTTTGTTATTATTTGTAGTTTAAGTACTTTGTTTATGTTTTTACATTCCTATTCCATCGCCATATTTATTCCTTATCTATTCAACTTGGATATACTTCTGTTTAATGTTCTTTGACATATTAGATTGAATTTCGGTTACATTTAAGATACATTTATTCTGATAAAGTACTTATTTAATATTATTTCATTATATTCCAATCCTTCTCTTGGATCCTTTGCTTCTTCAAGTGAGTTCTGTTTTTAAAAAGGACTCAAATTTTCTTCATGTTTAATGTTGTTGAGGCCTTTTTTATAGCCTTCTAGAATTCGTTATTCGTGTGATATTTACAAAAACAGAGATCTCATAACCCATATGTATACATCCCAAAATATACACACTCATCCTTGATCGAGAGGACGATCTACCTTCTCATAGCTATAACCCTTCTTGGACAATAGTGAGTCCGCTCGAGTACCAGGTATTATCGTGTCGCTTCACGTGTGCCGCGACTTCGAAACGTTTCGACGATTCTTGTCTATACATCGCTGCAGATGGAATTGGAACAAAGAAACTCCAAATGTAAGGGTGAATAATGATTCTTATTTCAAATATAAACAAACTTTGGATGCAGTTTAATAAGTATATGATTAGGTAGAACCGCTTGATAGGCTCGTTAGGAGTCCGTCTCGGCTCGTTGTGGTACCGCTTGGGATCTGAGACCTGATTTCAGCAGTTATCCCATCCGGATGCTCCTAAGACGTTTTATATCTAGCTGGGACATACTGTGGACATTTCTAAATTGAGAGTTATGAAGGGAGAGTGTTTTAACCTTTTTCTGCTCAGAACTGGACAGGAGCAGAACAGGTGTTTCACCGTCTCCTCCTTTTTCTCGTCTCTACAGCTACGTCAGAGGTCATTATGTGGGGTGCCCAGCCTGATTGCTTGGGCGCCTGTTAGCCAATGTCCTGTGACTGCGCTGCACCTTTTTCTGCCGAGTTTGCAGAGCTCTGAGGCATCTATGTTCGGCCATGTTTGCCGAGTTGTGCGACATCACGTCACTAATTGCCACATATCGTCTGTTGGTCGCTTGTATTGGCTATTGTTTAATATATAGATAATTGCAATTATCATTTTATAAATGTAACCATCAAAACAAGGATCAAAATTGACTTTGTTCAGGAAGATATTTCATGAAATTAAAAAAGATGATATTTCTTTTTATTCAGGAACATTTTAAAAGACATTTTAGAAAAAAGTTTATGTTTGGAATTTATTCAATCTGTATGTAAGAATTATTTCAAATATCTCAGTATTTGATTCTTATATCTAGCTTTTTGTATAAATCTATCTAGTTTCTGTGAGATTGTTTCAAGGATTTGGTGTTGCCTCTTAGGCCGAATATCCTTTAGATCTTGAAGAACTCTGCTCTGTTATCACTCCATTCAATCGCGTATAATTATAATTAACGATCCTCGTTGGATCTTGACATCCTAATCACATTTATCTGTCCCGCTTTATCTTCAGATACTCAGGCGTCTCGTCTCAATGTTCTTGGACTGGTACTGCCCAATGGCCTGGCGCTTTCTCATTTGGAGAACGAGTCGGTCCGGTGTGGAGATCTTGAAGCCATTGCCTCTGCGGTGGCGCTCTTCGATCTTCAGCGAGGTGGCCATCATGAAGATGGAGAAGACCAGGGCAATTAGATAGCGAACGATTAGCATATTGTGACAAACGCTGTTCGAAACCAAGACTGGACAGTCCAGCGATTCCAGTTCGTTCTTTTATAGCCCAAGTGCAGGACTATATCCGTTACCTGTCCTCAAGAGCGAGTCCTCCCTCCCACCGATCCCTCGATTTCTAGCCCGAGGGATTAGCGATTGGCTAGAGTTTTATAGCCAGTACTCCCCAATAAACAATTTCAGCGTTAATCCATTTGGCAATTTCCACTTCCTCTGCTGAAATCCGCACTCTCGATCGCAGTGCCGATCCCTAGATGAACCCCAGCCCAGATACAAACGGGGAAAACTAATTGCCATCCATGCCCCGATGATGCCTGATGAGTGGAAGTTCCAAGAAGGAGAGACAATGTCGACCTACCTGTGATGCTGCACCCTGGGACCCTGTTTTATGATCTGCTCTGCTCTCTCTCTCTCTCTGCCTCTTTCTTTGTGCCATTAGACATTTTAATTGTTAATTTTTGCAAAGGCGAAGCCTGGCCAGCAGCAGGAAAATTTAAATAATGGCCAGGCTGCAGGCAGAATCCAAGAGAGGAATCCAATGGCTACCTGCATTTATTATCTGCTGCTGCTGCTGCTTCTGCTTCTGCCGTTGGTGCTCCTCTTTGGCTGCCGCTGATCTACTCGACTCCGAGTGCCATCAACGTGAAAACAAGTGGCAACAATTTTCTATAAATTGCATTTGTGCAAAATTAAGTTCAATCTTGGCCAAGTCGCGAACCAGTAGCTGTATCTCTTCGGCTTGCATCCGCTCGTCTGGGTCTGCGCCCAGTCCCCCCCTCCCTATCCCTCTCTCTCTCTCCTGCTCTGATCTTTCACTGCTGGAGTAGCCAAACTCCATTAACTTTGCAATTGGCCACCATAACTCGTCCGTCGGTCGCCCGTTGCCGCCGTCACCTCGTCGCCCATTTGGCCGCCGCATCCACATCCACATCCACCTCTACATCTCTACATCTCCACATCCACATCCCACAGAGCACCATGCCGATGCCGATGCCGGGCCGGGCCGGGGCCAGGTCCAGGTCCAGTCCAGGCGAGGCCTGGCCCCATCGCTTGTTAGTTTTTGCGCCAGATCGTTTATAATAATTCGTATGCGAGTCATGTCATGGCCCCTAAAGTGTATCTGCAGCCGCGCAGTCGCAGTCGCAGTCGTCGCGGTCGTTGCGCATATCTGTATCTAGTCGAAGAGCACTTGGAGATGGTCTCGTGACACGATCCAGGATAATGCAGCATATTGATTGAGGGATAAAAAGTATAACTAAGGAATTTATTAAGGTACTAAAGATTGGTTCAATAGGAGATTGAAACTTAGAGAATGGCAGGCTGTATGATAAATTCCCTGCATAGGGTTGTAATCAGTCAGCAAAATGGTCACTAAAGGTACAGAATAGTGGCTTCCATTTATCTTGTTAAAGAAGGTATTATCGTATTCCAATAAATGATGTTAAATTCCGTGCACTTTGGAAGGAATTTGTAAAGAAATCACAACTTTTGATTTCCTTCCTTGCGTTAAGAACTCATTCTGATCTGCAAGATCTTAAGTAAGCTTCCCCTTTGAAATTCTACATGGGACTGCATAAGGGTACATATTTCAAGATCAAACAAGACTTGTAAACTTTCCATAATAATATTTATGTATGGGAATCATATGTATATACAACAATGATATTTCCAAGATGTTTTAAGATCTTTACAGAGCTATATACAATTCCATTTGTTTCAGTTAACAATAGATAGATCCGAAAAACATCATCTGATTGAAAATACCATAAATCATACTCGTTCGCTTCGTAATATGAACGTTCCAGTGGTATCAGGAAGATTTAAGCCCTATAAATCTTAAGAACTTCCTTAAGGAATGTATAATAATTAGACTGTGCATGTGATACACATTTCTAGACGTAGACGTGTATCATTCTGTGCCTCAAAGGACTCTGAATAGGACATTCGTAAAGATGTGTCAAGTGAAACCTTCAGAAACCTTTAAATTCCATAAAAATCCAATCACGAATACCTCTCACGAATCTCACACGCCCATCTCTGGGTAATGGAGTGGCAAGTCTTGGGATCGCCTGCTCTCGCTTGGCCTGATCTGGTCAACTATGCAACCGGCAGCAGCAGCGGAGTCGCCACAGCAGTCGCTGCCCCAGCCCCAAGCCCCCAGTCGGGTGACTCGAACTTGACTTCACTTGGCTTGATCTTGCGCCCGTTTCTTCTGCGCATAGCTTTGGGTCGCCACTGGCTGCATCTTTCTCCGCATCTCACGGCCAACTCGAATCCCTACCCCCCCCTGCCCACTGGACCGTTGTCATACCACTTTATCCGCGGCGCTTTGTGCTGGTTTTGTTCTATTGGTAAAAGGAAGTTAGAAAAATGCTCTGAATTCATGCGGCCACTGTCGGGGCCAGCCGAGGCGGTGGCCTTAAGTGAATTGTGCCCGGGACAAGCTTCCAGCTGGGCAGCCCTCGGATCTGCAAGGGAATTTCTATTCCATTGGGCGGAAATCTGTTCGAATGGCTTAGAGCCGCATACATATGTGCTGCCAAAAGTTTAAAAGTTGAGAATGATAATGGATTAAGTGAAAGTTTAAAGGAAGAATATAAGCTCGGGCTGGATTGAGATGTTACTCATTGAGTGAGGCAGAACCTTTCGAATAGAGATCTATACCTCAAAGAAGACTTTCTCCAGCATTTGAATGGAATGATTTGATTTTAGGTTTGTGTCATTATGGAGTACCATCACCTCTCCCTAGCATGCCCCATCCTGCACCTTAAGCTGCCGCAAAAGGGCAAAGACAAGCGGCAGCAAAAGCAACAGAAACAGCAGCGAGAAGAGAAATATGAAATTCCAAACAACTGCGGGGCACTTAAGGCGCTGCTGGTCAAGTCGGATCTCGAACTCCCAACGTAACCGGTGTCGTGGCTCTTGGCTCCGCATTCACTGGCCAAAGACCAACAAGACCAAAGCCATAGCCATCGCCTGGGCCATCGCCATCGTCGTCGTCGTCGTCACCATGTCGTCGGACTCCTTGGACAATGTTGCAATGTTGCTCTTATTTCAGAACATGACCATCGTCCAATGTGGGGCCAGGGAGGAATGCCTTAATTCAGGAATTTAATGAAAAATGCTCTATGAAGCGCTGCAGCAAATTAAACAAAAAAAAAGGAAGAAAAGAAAAAAAATCAAGCGAGGAAAACTTGAGCGCACAGAAGCCATCGGAGGAGTGGGGGCAACCCAACAGAACGGAGCGGAGTGGAGCCGCGTACAAAAAGGTTAAAATTAAAATCTTCGCTGGCTCTTGTTCTCCTTAGTTGAGCGGTTTGCTTTTCAATATACACATACCCTATAGGAATCTAATCAAAATGGGGTATATGAGGATCGGCAGGAGCAGGTGTAAAGGCTTTTGGGTTTTAGGTAATCCCAAAAACTTTGATCAAGTTTCTTATAAATAAAGAAACATTTTCTTAAATTTTTTTAGATTGAAAATTATGTACATTTTACAGGAGTGTTATGTACGAAGTAGTATTTTATATTCTCTGGAATAATTTTAATTAAAAGGTTACAATTTAGGTACTAAATAGAAGCCCCTAAACATTTTCGTAATCCTCCAAGAATATATCGTTTTAGCAGTGAATCATTCAAAGTTTTTTCATCACTTAAAATTCTTTTATAGATTTCAGGAAAACAGTTCCTGTATGCATAAAAGTTTGTTCCACTAAGGTTTTCCTTTCAATTCCTTAAAAACTTTTCTGGATGGCTCCTCCATTATCTTTTATTATAATGTATTCCCTTACCTAGATTTCCATTGAATATTAAAAATTGTTGTTTATTATTTGTTGTTTATTTTTAGAATCCTTAAATGATATTCCAACTACATTCTTTTACTGCTCTCAAAGATCTTATGCCACACTGGCCACTTCTTCGATCCCTTCAAGATCCCTCTTATCCACAGGGTATACCCAAATCGATCAACTAAATCCTGGATGCTACTGCTCTTTCTGCGTGCTTCAAGCAGTGTGAGATCGGTGGCAGGTGATGCCGTTCAACTTTGAGGTTGAGTAGCTTGATGCGACCGACCAAAGTTGACCAGTTCCCTCCTCGCGGCACACCTCCTCCGCCCACCCTCCGTCTCTCCCTCTCTCGCTGGTTGTGAGTGCGTCTGAAGCTCCTGTTGCTCTGCGCCGAGCGTTGTAAATTACATTTTCCAAATGCTTTTGCCATGTCGAACCAAAAAGCCATGTACATATGTGGCATAAAGGAGTTGCTGCTGCTGCTGCTGCGTGGCCAGTAGCTGTAGCTGGACAACTTGTGGCAGCATCTCTCGCTGTCTCTGTCCCTCTCCCTCTCCCTCGCTCTGGACTCTGTGGCCATGGCCGTGGTCGTGGATGCCGCCGCCTTTGCTTCCGTTTTGATTTGGAACACTTGTTGCAGTGTGTGGCAGCCCGGGCCTCTCTTCTATAGATGTGTCCTCCAACAACAACAAGCAAAAAACATCCATTCCTTGGGGATATGTACACACAGCACACCCATATATATACCATATATACTCGTACGTTGTTCCTACATGGATTCCAACATGGCATTTGGGATGCTCCTTCCCAATGCTCTTTTCGGTTTTTTCTTCTCTCTCTGTCTCTGTCTCTGTCTCACTCATTCTTTCTGCGTATTTAAACATTTTGTTGTTGCTTTCGGCTCGGGGATTGGGGCATCGGGATCTCCTGTTGATTATGTTGTTGTAGTTTGTTCAGATCGTTGTTGATTGTTGTTGAGTGTTGATTGTTGCAAGCGGCCGACTGGTGGCTGCCCCGCGGTAGGTAGCTGCTTCTGCCCCTCAGAGCTGTTGACTTTGATTAACCCGAGTGTGAGAGCTTTTTGCCAGTGATCATCATTGGCTAAGAGATTTCTGGGGATTGCAGCAAGAGAATGGGCTTTCTAAGAACTCCCTGACCTTAAGGCATTCAAAGATTAAAGCCTTTTTCGGCTATAAGAAAATCCTATCATGGCGCTCCTTCCACTAGAATACTAGTGTGCTTTTACATACAGAAACGAAGAAATAATCAAAAGGCTATAACTCTAAGAATTTAAATGGATTATAGTGATTGGTTCAATACTTATCGAGAAAGATGGAACTTCAAAGTAAGTGTAAAAAAGCGAAAAAAAATCGATAGTAAAGATTATATATTAAGGATATGTGTGTGCTACAAGAGTATGTTCATTTTTCGAATGGATAAGATGGTAGCATTCTCTTTACTTGAATGTGACTGATTTGTTAAACTTCCACTAGGATGATGCTTTGAATACATAGATTAAGGTGTCTTATAAAGTACTACATGGAGGCTCATTCTTCATATAATCTACCTTCTAAATTTACTTCACTTCCTTGTCATCCTTTTGCATCGATGTTTCCATTATCACCGCCGCCACCGCTATCATCTTCAATGCGTTCAGCAGCTCCATCTTGATCCTATTCATCATAGGCGAAGAGAATCACGATGACGATGATGATAATATAAACAAAGCAGAAGTGTATTAGATATAGAGGTTTTTCTTTTGAAGAAGTGAACTATTGTATTTCAACTTGTGGCTCCAATAGCATCATTCCTTGTCCCACATTTCTTGAATAGTTTGTTTGTCTATTTCCAGTACATCCGATAGGCTGCTACGGTCTTGGGGAGGATCATACTCCCAACCATTGCTTTCGTCGTTGCCTATTGGTGTGGTTAAAAACTGCTGAAAGACTTTCGATTGCGGAGGACTTACCTAAGGGTTTTGCGGGTTCCCCTGAATCAGGTGAAATAACGAATAACTTTTAACTTTGTTTTAAAATCAATTTATTATTCAAAATTAATATTTAAAAGATGGCAAATTTTAAATTCTTTTTCTAGAGATGTCAATACAATAGTATTATATTATCTTACAAGATCCATTTGTATTTCTTTAAAAGAAAGAAATTTCCTATCACTATTTGAAATTCTTTCACCTTACAATATATTTAAGCCTTAAAGATGCCTCCCCTAGTACAGGGATTCTGGTTCCATGATCTCGTAGGTGGCCAGCGGCAGCACCTCGTTACCAAAGTAGTTGGCTCCGCCGGGTGCAATGTCCGGCTCCGGCAGATCGTAGATGCGCTGGAGGAAGGGACTCCGCGAGAGCATCATCTTGGGATTGATGTAGGAGTGCCGCCTCATGGAGAAGTCCTTCTTGGCCTGTCGCCTCCATGGGGAGATCTGTTGCTCCAGCAGCTCGTTGCCCAGACTCTCGCGCTCCGCCGGCAGGGAGGTGACCTCGTTATAGACCGGAGATCGTGACCTGGGCCGAGCCGCGACCAGGAGGAGCAGCGTGACAACGACGAGGACGAGGAGTAGAAGTTTAACGTTCGACATCTTGACTGCTTGGCAGCTGGGATTGGAATGTGCTGGTTGAGGCATGGCCCAGTGGAATATAAAGGATGTTTAGGTAGTGCCCAACCGATTTCCCCTAAGTGTTTTCTAATGATGCAAGTCCAAAGGCTGCTACCTGCAGCTACCTGATGATTACCTCTGTAGTTTATGACCAGTGATTCCGTTCTCCTTTGGTTATCCCACTCCGGGCGCACTCACTTTGCCCATCCACCACATCAATCTGGGTCTAGGCGGCAGGCATCCCGAGGCAGGCGGAGAGTCACTTAAAGTCGGCGACTCCACTCAAGGCATCAAGATCGCTGGGACGGGACTGCCGACTGCCGACTGCGGACTGCGATGCCATTTCATGTTAATCAAACAACGAAATCCATCAACAGGTGACACACCGCAGTACGGGCTGCAGTACGGGCCAAGTGGGCGGCGGATCTGTGGGGCAGAGTGGTGATTGTGGCTATAGGGGAGCCACGACATCTACCAGACATGTCAGTGCGATAATGGTGCTCTTTCTGCCTCTGTATCTACGAGTGTGTGCGGTGTGCTGTGTGTGAGAGTATCTAAAACAACTTCATTCACAAAAATCAGACCAAGTAACAAAAAAAAAAGCAGCGAAAAAGCCCGAGAACGAAGCAAAGCATCTGTAAAAAAGAAGCTGGGCCATTAAAAATATCTTGTGTATGCCAAAAGCGAGGCAGATAGCAGCCAGCCACAAGACACATCCCGAGTTGAGGCAGGCACACGGGCAGAGGCAATGGCAGTGGCAGTGGTAGTGGAGGTTGTGGCATCCACAGAGGCTACTTGGTAGCTGCATCATCATCAGAAGCTGCTGCACCTGCGGGGGCGGTGATGGGGCGGGCGGGACAGGGACAGGTCGCCGGCTAGTGGGCAGCCAGGGGGGCAGCAGCCACAGCAATAGCCAAGAAACATACGCCTAATGCCACAGTCATCGACATCCGCCATTTAGCTTGGCTTCTTAACCCACTCTTTGCCGATGGGGTTGGAAAAACATGGATTCAGAAGGATTAAGTTTATTTCGTAATAATATTATGAGTATATTTCAAAACAATGGCATAATTTTTTAAGCCGGTTTATATAGGATCTAAACAATTCTTTTGCACATTTATGGTCGGCGAGTTTCTCATGTTTTTTATCCCTAAAACATGGTTTAAAGTTTGAAATTCTTTTCCGAGTTGTAACACCTTACTTTGCCTTGAGACAATAATATGCATATGGTGAACAGTAACTTTTATTTCCTAGGAAAGAGTCAATTAAAATCGGTATTAAATAATTGGTACAATGGGTTAGTGGAGGGGGTTAAGTTCCCCGTGAAAACAGATTTGGTTCGAAGAATCCAAATAGCGAATCGCTTAGGAACATCTGCATTTTAAATTGAATTATTGAATTCATGATAAAAGTGGATTTGCAAATGGAATGCAACTTAATATAGTAGTATAGAAAACATCGCATAAGGAAATTCCATAACTTGTTTATCCATGCAATAAAAAATGTAGTAAAAAATGGTATATGCGATTTTGAATACCGTATTCATACCCTCAATCCTCATTCCACCAGGTAAGTGCATACATATTTTCATTTAGTGGGTTAATCCAGCTCCTAGCACTAAGCTCTCTCTCTCCTTGTTCTCCCTCTCTCTTTCTGCTTTGTCTTCTGATGCTGACGCTGCTGCTGCTGCTGCGCAGTCGCAACTGTCTACATTTGTCGGCCTGCCTACAGCCGCCGTCGCTCTTCGCTGTTCTTCTCCTCTCCCGTCTCTTTTCCTGTGCTTGTCCGTCCGGCCGTCGCTGGCTACCATCTCCATCTTCCGTCTCCCATCTGGGTCTTGTTCTTCTCCAGTCGATTGGATGTCCAGCTTTCAATTTGCAACATAAAGCATCTTCATCGTGGGCCGCATGAATGGGCAAATGACTAGGGAGAGAGATAGGGGGAGAGGAGGTGGTGGGGGGTAGGTATGCTTGGGTGTGGGCTGGGAGCTGGTTGCTGGTTGCTGTCTCCTCTCCTGCTCCACCTCCTCTTCATCCTCCTCATTTTCCCCACTGTTCCACTGGCATTGACGGTAGGCACTCAGGCGTGCCTTGGCGGTAGTCGCTGACCTTTATTGATTGCTGTTTGACCTCGCCTCGCTATTGTTGCAGTTGTTGTAGTTGCATCTCCTAACCATTTGTACTTAGCCGATCGCTGGCATAGATTGCACCCAGGAAAGGTGTGCAGTGCAGTGTGGGGCGGGGTATAGGGGGGGCAGGCATGCGGTATACGCCCACTAAGCATCGCTGCTCTTGCGCTGTGCTTTGTCGTTTTGCTTTCTGCCTTTTTGTGCAGCCTTCATTGTTACCTTCGCCTCTCTGGCGCGAGCTGCTCTCTCCACGTCTCCCTCTCTCTCACCCACTGCTGCTGCTCTGCTTCTTCTACTTGTGCTGTTGTTGCTCCATTACTCCGTTTCATGGCAGTTAATTTATATTCGATGCATTTCTCTCCCTCTCTGTCCGACTCTTTTGCCAGTGCTTTTTTCTACCCTACCTAAAGGTATCACCTACGACTCTATGGAGTATTTTGTCTCTTAAGGTAATCCAACCAAGCTGCCTTGGCAACGACGGATCTGTAAGGGTATTCAAAGCTTCGCCTACCAAAGACAGTTCTTCGTTTTCTTGTTTTGCGTGTTTTGTTTTTGCTTCTTACTTCCTTTTTGATGTGTCCCTGTTTTTGTTGCTTTTGTTGTCGGGGGACTGGCTGTTGTTGTTCGATGTTCGAGGGTAAGGTCGCCGGTCGTCCGTCGGTCGTCGGTCGTCGGTCGGCTTCGTCGGTCGTCATTGACGCCTCTCCTTGTACTTAGTCTTCCATTTGCTATGCAAAAACAAAAGACTGAAGAAACGACCAGCAAGAAGGCAATTGAAAGGGGACCTAGACTAAAGAATACCCACTAAATCTATTAAAACATTTTCCCCAATGATACCACTTCAAAGTTTTTGTTTTGTTTTCGAGATTCAGTGGATTTTACGAACGATTTTACTGATACGAGTATGCCCAGATCCATTCAGGCTCAGATGATAATCAAGAATATTTGGGAAGCACGAGAACGATTATACCCTTTTTAGCCCTAAAAGGTAGCAAAACGACAAGACCGAGCCTCAGCACACTTTGGGAGCCTTCGTTTTGTTTGGCTTCTATCTTGTAGTTTGTTTTGTTTGACAGTTTCTATCTGGAGGGCTATCAGAGTCGTATTCGCAGTGGGAATCGGAGCCGGGTCGGGGCTGGCACTGGGAGTCCGTTGCAGCCTCAGAGACGAGACGGCTGTCGTTTTGTTTGCTTAATTGTTTGGTTTCTCCTATTGAATGCCCCCCCCCCCGCACCAGAGGCAGGGAAAACTGCTCGGTTTCCTATAGGTGGGGGCGATATTTTCCATGGAAATAAATTAGCTGATTGAGGATAACCGTAGTTAGTGGGATGGCGAATGCAAATGTGAGAGGGTGCTGTACAAGTGAATTATCACCTCGTTTTTCAGGCCTTGTCGCTGTCCCTGTCCTGTCCTGTCCAGGTGATATCTCCATCTTGTTTGGGGGCTAATGGGTATACGTGGATAATGATCCTACTACCATATTGATTTGGCTTTAATCATGCACTATATTATTATTTTTAGCTTCTTTTAAGCTCCTCACGAATCTCGTACCATCTGTAATTATTGACCGGAGCCGTGCTTTAATATCGCCAGCAAATCAGATCACTTCATAATGATAATAATCACTCAACCTGCTACACATTAAAGAGTATCAGTACATCAGATCAAAGAGCAGGCAATTCGTTCTCTTAGCTTGTGGCGCTCTCTTAGGCCAGAGCGTGCCAACGCAAATTCATTCATATCGAGCACAAAAAGGTGTATTTAATCAAAAGGTAAGGTCTTCCCGCTCTTCAAGTCACATGCCACTCGATCGCTCTCCCTCTCTTTGTGCATCGGTTGCTCTCGTGGGGGCCACCCTCACCCTTTCTTCTATACACTCTGCTCGCACGCTAAAAGAATCGCCACTTGTCGTTCGCACCAAGAGAGAGAGCTCAAGCAAGCTCAAGAGCACGAGTGGGAAGAGAGAGAGAGCGAGCGAGCACGAGCCGCCGCACGATGGGCTCCATCGGCGCAGACCGATTGATCAGTTTTCTGCTGCATTCAGCTTTCAGCCGGTTGGGTTAGTGATTTTTCCAACGCTCCCGAGTGCGGTTCGGTGTAACGGAAGCGAGAGCCTTTTGTGGAGAGCCAGAGGAGATTTTTCGTCCGATGCGAGCGAAGACGAAGACGGAGACGAACAAACAAATAAACAATAATCGCAATAATAAACGTAATTCAAACAATTAATCAAAACGCGACGATCAATGAAACACACACACACACAACGAAAAAATGTTTATTTAATTGGTATACGGCTATAAAAAATACTTACAACAACAACAACAGAGGGAAAAAAAGTGCCAGTGAATGAGATTGTACTTAATTTTTACGTACAAAATACTAGCTGTAAATGTGTGTATGGCTTGCCTGTGTGTGCGCGTGTAACAGTGCCAGTGAGTGTGTGCGTGTATGTGAGTGCGGCTTTATCAATTGCTCCACATAAAAGTTTTCATTGAAGTGTTTGACGACAACACACAACCAACCCCAAATAGCCAGCCAGCCAGCCAGCGAGAGCGTACGCGAAGGAGGAGAATCAGCTTAAAACGGTAATTAAGACAAACAACATACTCTACTCCGTACTCTTCTTGATTCGGCCATAAGCAAATGATTCAGCAAATTGTTCGATGAACAACTGTAAATTTTGATTGAACTACAACTACAATTACAATTAGGAAAACTACAACTACAATTTGCGGGTGACGAAAGCTGCGTCAACGCATGCTTGCAATTAGTGTAACTGTTTATGGGGTGGCTGTTTGCTGTCGCCGTCGCTGTCGCTGTCGCTGCCGACGCACTCCGTCTGTCAAAGTAGCAG